AGACTTACTTCATTCATATTATAGTAATCACATCTAGTTACTCCGTTTTTTAGTGGCTCTCTGACGAAATAATTTCATATAACAGTGGGAGACACTGGGTCATTATCACGTCATTCAAAATGTTTGCGAACTAAGTGAGCAGAATTTTGTTGAGGTTCAAACACCGAAAGTAAACTTTCTAGACTGAATGGAGTCAAGTACTGACTCATCTGATCAAGCAGTAAAGGTAATTGGCATTAGCCACCTATTCAGGTGCATCTTCTACTGCCCTTATTTCCAAGAAATGGGGATAATCCTTCGAAGATATGCTCTTTCAGCAGTCTGCCTGACCAGACACTGGGGCTATAGAGTCACGTACAAGCCCCATTCTTCCCCTCCCCCTCCTACTCCTCCCATACGCCTTGTTCCTTCCCAGTTCCAGCTTGTGGATACTTTCAATATGTGGCTAGGCTTCCACGCTAAGTAAGTCGCTTCATCTTTGTCTCCAATCAACCTTTCAGCTTAGTCAGCCGGCAATTGCTGCCGAACACAACATATCGCATCTTACTCAAGTGTTTACTCGAAAACCCCGAGATCCGCTTGACTTCTACTTGAGCATTCTACGGATGATCAAAGATGAATAGCTGTCCATCAGTGGGTCAGATAGTCGATGCCAAAACCTCTCATCGACACCTTTGCCCTTTCGAATCCCCTTCTGGACACATAGGAACCGAAATTGCTAGAGGCTTGTCCACCCCTCCAGAAAACTCATGCTACTCTCCAGCTTTCAAATTATTAATATTACCAGATTATTTCCTCATTCCGTCTTTCACTTGAATCTCTCGAAAACATTACGACTGAAAGGTTTTCATGTGAAAAGTTTAATGCGATTCCTTATAATCTTATGACTTCGATGCCTGAACTTAATGGTGAAGAGGCATGTAACTTTTTCATCATTTTCTTTGAATTCCAGTCATTGTTATCATTGAAAATATCATTAATTATTCTAGTAACTCATCAACGGGTTACGGTACTCTATACTCGGCAAGTGGCCTTAATTCGCACTGATTTGCAATCTCAACTTAAAGGCTTTTTTACATTAGTAAGGTCCAGAGTATGAGTCATGATGAGGTCTTTACTTCCCACTGAATGGGTCCGAGACTTCTTTGACTGCAATAGTAATGCTCCCTAACTTCTTATACATCCTGAACCTACAATCAATTACCAAAATAGAGCTCATCTTTCAAGATAGTTACAATGGGCTATACTTTCAGAAGGCTATCCCCTCTATCTGCCTTACTGAGAGGCCAATTAGGAGAATGAACCAAATTAGACATCGTTTGTCTGACTGATGTCAATTCACAAGGATTCCCGGCTTCATTTTACAAACTTTACTTTACTCATATCCAGAGTATGAGTTTGAATGCGTTTTCACTCTCCACCGAATGGGTTTGAGCCTTCATTGACTCCATAATTTAATGTATACCCGATTTCTACCAGTGGTTATCAAACTGACCATGCGTGTGTGAAGTGCGCCACCTGCCATTACACCACCTCTGCCCTGATTTATCAAAATAGAGCTCATGTTTCAAATTGGTTACCATTCACTATTTTTTCAGAGTCTGTTCCCTCTAACTGCCCCTCTAGGAGCCTAATTAGGAGGGTGAACCCATCAAAACATCGTTTGTCCTTTATGATGCTCGATAATTTCTAAGAATGACTGGCGGGTTATGAATCTAATTAGCAGCCGAGCTCAATAGACTCACAAATTTTCCATCCTGAGTATTTTAAATGAGCTCTTTGATAGTTACCTGGAGGAGTTTCGCGAAAGAGTAGTAAGTTGGGGAGTCACCCAAGTAGTCACTACGATTCTCCCAACATTCAATCCCTATAGCTTAAATTGAAGCCCTGTTTTGGTGAGAATTCTCAAAAAACCACGCAAAAAACTCCAAACGGGCTCATCACGAGAGCGTGTGTTTTTCGGATGGGGCAACCCTTTTGGTAGGATTGTCATTTAATTAGATAGGCTCATTTCTTGTTATTCACACAAAAGTGAATATCATTGTGGGACCGTCTGGAAGATTTCTTTTTCTGTGCCGTCCCTCTGTATCAATGACGATATCCCAGACGACCTACCCATGGCCCGCTTTCAAATTCGAATTCTTTCCAAAAATTTTGATTCCGTTATTGGGTATTTCCTTCATTTACATAGAATCAACGTAAAAACTCAATGTGGTCTCCAATATTAGTTGGTGTTTCATCTTTGGCGTTCCAATCAAAGCGCGAAAGGCATGCGAGAGATGCTATTCATTGCTCCTGTTTGCTCCTCTAATTCGTGGTCGGAAACATATCTAAGCTGATTCATTTATTCTAAATGGATTCTTTCTGGTTGGGTTTTCTCAAAGTCCTGGTGGAGTTTCTAGGAAAATGGCAACATTGGCAAGTTTTCAAG